GCATGCATATACATTAAGGAAAAAACATTTAGGAAATAACTGCATTATAGATAGAAGTTAGCATATAGATTCCAAGTTTAAACAAATAGACAAATCAGTGGCCATTTCTCAGAGTAACGCATAGCCTATCTGATTTTGTGCAGTTTATCAACCTAATGGTATCGCAAAGGACATAGCCCATATCTCCACTAAGATTTAAGACAGAGCTGCCTTAACAAGTAGAAGTTTCAAGCAGAGGCAGAATAACAGGACAGATATGCTGGTAAAGTGTGGCAAATAAAATGTCTGAGCTGACCTGACCTGGTTTTACCACAATAGACCTATTGTTTGGATTCAAAGTGGCTATAGTGTAAAAGTGATTTTATGCACAATGGCATTAACAACATTATAATATCATCAAAGCCAAGGGCTTCACTTTGTGTTGAAAAGTGGTGGGGACATTTAACATCATATTGGGGATGTGACAAAACACTTGGTCCACTAGAATATTGGAGTTAGGAGAACAAGACAACGAGATACTCCAATACTATTTAGAATAAATGTTCATTGATGAATATTCAATTGGGGGGGTCTAGGGGTCCTAACCCATAAGAATTTGAGCATTAGACTCTTAATTTCCTGCATTTTAGAGACATTTTATGCAATTTATGGTGGAATTTTTAAAATGTATTTATATGAAGGGAAACAGATTCAAGTGGCCAGTGACAAATCAGAAATACAAAATATAATCGAACACAACGCAGTAATCAGCAGCTTGTTTTTTTAGCCTAAGTGACTTTTTTTGGAAAAGACAGAACTGTTTCTTCTATTTTCAAATTGCATTAAATGTTTTCTTATTGTGCAAGTAAACCTTTCTCATAGAATTTTTGTTATTTAACATTTCTTGTTGCAAGCCAATTTTCAGAAAACATTTAGCAAATGCTTTCAAACAGTGGTGGGGACTAAATCTGCCATTTTAAAAAGTGGTTAAAAGAATTTAAAGAAGTTTGTACACACATGCACACACACAAGACTTGTCAGATTTCATTAGATTTTATTGATCTGTGTAAACTCTCTGCAAAATCTTTACATGCAAAGTTATTTGCAAACATACATATTTCCAGTGCATGCACTAACTATGTACAAATACAGAGATAAACCAGGAAACATTCCACTAAACTGGCAGACTCAAGTAGAAGACAGCTATGAATGTATCTCAGAGAGAAGCCTGTTTAAAAAAATATTGATTATAATTTATCATGATCATCATCAGATGATCGCAGTAGCTAAAGTAGCACAGCATAGGGCAGTATGTGATGCTACTGGTGGGTCTTTGAATCACTGCCACAGTGGGGTTGAGTGGCAGAGAAGAACAAGACACTGGAGAGATTTGAATATGTATATACAGAAAGCCTCATTCAAAGAATGAGATCCACCTCACTATCTGCTGCTGATAGAGATGAAAATTTTGTTGGTGTGCTCAGTTGCTTATCAGTCTATCTGTGGATGCGATCAGTTTATTCAGATTACACCATAGTCACCATAGTCATGCAGAATATGGCCTCTTGTATACAAAGTATTAACAGGAATGTTATGGAGAAGTGTAAACATTAATGGAATTACAATAGCATTAATTTCTTACTAATATTTATATATATATATATATATTATATATATATATATATATATATATACACATATATCTTGAACCACAAGACACTTCATGCATAGGATTTTTGTTTTTGTCTTTGTTTTGACATTGGAATAACTTGCAAACAGCTGTATAAATTGAGGTCATTCCACTTTGTAAGGTGTGCTTTCCTTGGTTTGCTGTAATTAGTGAACAAACACACACTAAAGCCTTGAATGATTGGGGTGTGGCAGAGGGGAAAGAGCCCTGCTTTGTGCAAAATGTGCGTTGGAGTAAAAGCCGGCCATGACTCCTCCAGACACGGCAGTCACAAGCACAGTGCATGCAGGTAAAGCTGCACATACTTATGACATAACCTGTTCCACCTTCTCTCTTTGTTAAAGGGGGCAGCCACGCGGTTTAGGGAAACATGTGAGAGATCTGGCCGTGTGCATTCAGTGTAAACACTACAGTAGAAAACCTCAGCGTGACCAAGTGAGCCCCAAGCTTCTGAAGAGTAGAGGTAGCAGGAGGAAAATTCTTTTCCTGCCAATTCTCACTGTAACTAAGAAAAATAATTGTTCACTTTTCAGTTTCTCCAATTACACAGTTAATACTTCCCCCAAATCAAAAGTCACAGCTTGAATAAACATACATAAAAAGTCCGAATATTTCACTAGGTGTGCTATAATTTTAAATCACAAATTAACATCAACTGATAAAAGATTCATCCAGCTCATGGTCCACTGACTGATGAATCATCCGTGTATCAGATGTCTATCCTAACCTGAGCCATGTATCAGTATGTAAACATTTTGTCATGGAAATATACAATATGTTCAAGACAGTGGGCACAGTTGAAATATTTAAAGGCGCAGCTGCATGTTTTCTTATGTCTGTGGCTTCGCATGCTTATACAGTTCAAGTGTTACACTACAGCATGATGTAATCACACGACAAATCAAATAAATAGTATCCTTTCAGACATGAGCTTAATCGAGGATTTTATGACTTTGAACAATGGTTTTCACTTCAGGTGACATAACAAATTGCTATTCTTGTTCTGTGCCAGTGCAATTCAAACTTCATTTTCTTTAGCAAAGAATGGGTCAAGTTCAGCACGCTATATAACATCACCGATGGGCATGATGGTCCTCGTGCAGCTGATCGTTGACAGATGTCTTGGTTACATTAGTAAAATCTCTAATTGATTTATGACATGATTTGTCCCAGAGGCAGATTAAATATCAGCACAGGCACATACATTGTTAGTAAGAGGACAGGAAAGAAGAGTATACTATCACAGAAAAGGAAGAGAGTAAGCCTGTGTGATGGTCAGGTAGTGAAAGAACAATAACATTAAAAAAAGTGCAGTTAGGAGATGAATGCAGCTCATGCTGTATGGGGGGGGGGGTTAATCACTAGCAACATGATTCTCAATATACAAGGTGTGCCAACGCTCAATCTTCTTGTCCTTGTTCTTCAAACACTCATACCAGTGCTTCAGTCTCTCTCCTTTGGCAGAGATACCTAGCTGACACCCACCTGTCAGGAAGGAAGTGAGGTGTGAGCAGGTGTGAATTTCAGTTTTTTTATTCACCAAAGCACTGACACCTATCAAATATTTACCGATGTAGTCGTTGGACTTCCCAATATCATAATCCCACACAGAGATATCTAAGGTCTTCTTGGCCAGTTCACTGTGTTTGATGTCATAGTTGAATTCCTGAAATTGGATTGAGACATAAACCCATCATTTTAAAAGCCACTTCCAACATTTTTCATAGCTGTAACATTTTCCAAATTGCAAAGAATGCAGTGACTGGGTAATAATTTGGGGATAAACATTTTTACCAATTGAAACCTTGAACTTTATTACAAACCTCATTAAACTCTGGGTTTAAAGTCCTCTTCTTGATTTGTGTTTTGCACTTGCCCTTCTTCCCCATGTCAGGTTTCAGACATCTGTGAATTGTATAGAATAAAATTTATGCCATTCTAGAGTCATACACTTGCACTTGCACTTGTCTACATGTACTTCTCCATCCTGCTCTACCTACATTTTGACATATGGGTCAGAGTAGCCATTAGCATCCATGGCAGCCAGGTGAACGCAGCGCACAACTCCCACAACGAGACGGTTCGTCTGGGTGTTGTACATGAGGGAGATCAGAATCCGACCCGCTCCTCGACCTCGCCGCCATCTTTCCCTGACTGAGAAAGAGCAGGGGGGAGGGGGGGTAGTTTAGTGGGATTCAAGAAAAGATTTGTATGAACTACTGGAGGAATCTGTCATGTTCAGACATGCTTGGAAATAAAAGCGTTGCCTCATCTTCGTAGAGAGCGATGCCTCTGGCACCCCCGGCTGTTGCAGTTCTCTTCGTCTGTGAGGGGGAATGAGATTACAGCAGGTCAATAAGAGATTCAGACAAGGAGAACCAAGCATTGTTTGAATGTAATTGAGTTTCACTCACAGGGACAACTCTCTCGAGACACACGTTGAAGTTTTTCTTCTGGTTCATCTTCAGTTTCTTCAGCGCCACTCGGGTTTCCCCAATAAACTCATTATGTCCGAACTTGTCTTCATCACAGACAGACAGCCTGTGGAAATCAAAAGGGGAATCTTAATCACACGGACCTGTTCCACCTTTGGTCTAACACACAGTCAACTAAGGTCAGATTGAGTTATAAACAGCTGTTGCAGCTAAGTGAGGAGTTGAGTTTGACTGCCTGAGTGACAGTATCCACCTGAGGGTCTTGCGCTGCATGTCCTCATCGGTCAGGCCGTGGTAGGTGAGCGTCTCATTCCAAGCAGGGTTGCGGGTGTTTCTCAGGGTCTTTGTGCGCAGCTTGTTAGACTGTTAAATGCAGGGTAGATCAGGACATGGAAATGGAAATATCGAGGCAAGTTACCACTACACAATCTCTCACACATCTGTGGTTAGTGCTATTTTATCACAGGGAGTATCTACATGGTGCTGCTTCCCCATCAAAAAGTGTTTTTGTAACGCAGTCCTGCCCCATTCTCCACTACAGCACAGTGTGATAATACTACACTAACAATGTACATTCATGACAACTCTGACTTTATTTATAACCTCTCCGTATGTATGTATTTCTCGACATCATCCCAATCCAAATTTTATGATTTTTGTCCATTCAAACCACAAGGTGTCAGGCTTGAGCTGGCAGAAAGGCCTCTCGTCAAACCACTCTTTCTTTTTAATTAGATATGAACATAATACATTTTTCAAAAGAAGCAAAAGCTTAATGTAGGGAGGGTTGTTTTACCTTACTAGCCCCTGGCAGCAGATGAAGCTTGACATAAGGATCTGCCAGTCCGTTTGAGTCCATGGGCTTCAGTCCCTGAGGAAAAACAGTGCAGCCTGTCCGTCACATCATCATGAACAGTAGAGAGCAATTAAGCTAAAGTGCCATTCAGGAGCATTTAAACACAAACCACTTGATTGTAATTGTCCCTTTGTGTGAGAGAATGAGGAGAATAGTGGTACCTTTGCTTTGAGGATGCTACAGTGGAGGCTGTTGCTTTCCTGTTCATAGAGCAGACTGAACTCTAGAGAGCCCAGAGTGGCTGAAAGAGACACAGACCAGTCATTACATTAGACTACAGAGAAACAGCAAATTAGCTCTTGAATAATTAAGAGTATAAATACATGGAAATGGAAATCTTGTAGTCAAACAACACACAACTTGTGAATTGAAGTGACAATAAGCACCAGTCAAGAATGGATAGAAAGGATGAACAAAAATTCTAGGGAACACTCACAGCCTTCTATTTACCTTAAGTAAACATCAGAAAAATCTTATTAAAAGCAGGGGCATATAATATAAAATAAATCAAATAAACACTGAAGTCTCAAAGGAAGACATTCAGAAAAGAAGGTTCTGGGTAAAAAAGAAAAATACTGAAAAAGCTGCCCACACACATTTTCTTTGGAGGAATTTCATTGCCTAACATAGCTGTTGGGGGACAAAATAATCAGATGTCAGTTGTTAATTTTTCTTATTTAACTTGTCACAATAACACTGCTAACATGCTGATGTTTTGCAGGTATAATGTTTACCATGTTCACCATTTAAAATGTTAGCATGCTAACATTTGACTTAGCGCATGAGGCTGAGTGGAATCCCATTAGTTGCTTGCAGGGCTAAAAATGAGCAGCACATCATCCACCTTTATTTTATGATCAAATATATTAATAGATTTGATATACAACAACACACACACACTTTTAGAGATCAGACTTCAAATAATGATTATGAGACTATTCAGTCAAATTCAAGTCTTAGCAGAATGTTCTGTTATTTAACCCTACCCAACTAAATTATGTTGAACAGATGTTATGCATAGTATATTCATTTATTAAGCTACAACAACCAGGACTTGAGAGGAGAGAGGATGAGGATCTTGAGATCAACAACACTGAAACCAGTCAGCACCTCTGGACTTCACCATCATATCTCTATAGATGAGAGCAGGCACATTGGTAACCATTGGTATTTCTGCAATTTTCACTCCGAACAGAGGGGATTGGGTCAAACACATGGGGATTCTTTATCCTGTTGGCCCTTTTGTATCTCAAATTATTTGCACAGCTCCATATTCCCAGACCTTAATAAAACAAATTAACACCCAATCCCCCAGAGAGAGAATAAAGGCTGTTGACGCTGCAGGCGCAGAACATGACTGGCATGTCACCATTCCCATCATCAAAATGGGCTATATGAAAAAAACTGTACAATTACATAGCTTATGTGTCACTATTGGTTTACTGATTCACATCGGCCTCTCCTGTAGATATTGGTTATCATGCTTATCATATGTAATTTTCTACCCAGGTCCCAGAATAATATTTACTATTTTCTAGGACAATTTAGCAATTTATAGGTATTAATTATTATCCAGCAGACTAAAAGGCAGAAGTCAAGCATCAACATGGTATTACTCAGAATCCCTAAGGGGAACAGAGATGCTGCTAAATGAAGGTAATCAACGCCCAGTAAGAAATAAGAAAGAAAATAGACTCATAAGCCACCTTACTCTATGAGAAGAGTGAGCAGATGGTGTACTCACTGGCTTCATCAGAGTCATAGTCATTGGCCTCCTCCTCCTCCTCAGCTGGGGGAGGTTGCTGCCGGGCAGGAGGAGCACTGTAGGCAGCGGGCTGCCTCCTGTCCTCTCTTGCTGCAGGAGGAGCTCTCTGCTCAGGAGGAACTCCACCAGAGGAGTAAGCCCCTCCATCGCCTGCCACTGGACATGCAACCACATTCAATTATCTGAGACTGCACGAAATAATACCACTGGGAATGCAATTTTTGGTTAAAGCTTGGGCACTGAGGACATGAGCCAAGGATTGTGTCCTAGCTGTCTCTCACCCTGCTGGGCCATGGTTGTCGATGCAGCCGGCTGTAGTCTGGAGCTCTGGACGGGCACCATCTTTTTCATCACCACTGGGCTGCCCTGCCCCGCCTCTTCAGAGCCAGCCCCACCCGCGGCCATGCGCACAACTGATGGTTTAGGGGCCACAGGTGGGTAACTATCACGGCCCTGTGGCTCCGGTCCTAAAAATAAGTATGAATAACATAATAATGTAAAAACTCAGACGCACACTATACATGAGGGAGACATGTATAACCACTTCAGGCTCCCACTGCAGTGGAATCTGTAATACTCCCTAGTCTCTCTGGATACTTTTGATGTTGCAGCTTTTTTGTTGCAAATGCACTGACCTACATACGCTACAACAAGCTGTGGCATCCGACTACTGTACATGCAGCGGCTATATATTTTGCCTATCTGCTCGAGCTACCCCTCTCTTTAATCGGGAAATCAGATTGCTCAGGTACTCAAGCTAAATGTGTGAAATGATACAATGTGACCCATCATGCCAGCACCACCTGGAGGCTCATCCCATGTCACAGCATGCACCTTCCGACAGCTTAATTGAGCTCTTCATCCCCTTCCTCTGCAACAGTGGGCGGTACAGCCAAATTTGGGAAGCAGATAAAAGGTGATAAAAGGTTTGAAAAAGAGCAATGACAGGTGGGGTTGCAGAAAGACTAGTGTGCAGATGCTGAGCTGATGAGACTGAAGAGGTCGTGCTTTGAAAAATTGTTTAAAGTCGAAATGAAATTAAAATTCCACACAGGGAGTGTGATTTCTTCACTCCTCATGTTACTCTGATTCCACGCATTATCCTGTGTCATGATTTGAATCATGAGGTCATCACCATATCTGGACCTATGAAAGAAAGACAGCTACACAGTCTTACAATGCAAAGTAGTCTACTGGTCTAAAAGCAAACCATCTCGCATCGATCCTGGCACTGATCCAGACTGTGATAAATGTCACCTAGGACCAGCTAATCTCACATGTTTTGGACTAGTTTTATCTCTATTTATTTACTGTAAGTCTGTAGTTGACTCACTCTCAGCCATCATCTCTGTTAACATCTATCCCTCACCCTTAGTTGGCCTGTTTGGTATCCTACCCACTGACCATTCACTGCCGTCCTATTTTGTTGACCTTGTAGCTTTTCTCACATTCCTAGCGAGGCATGTTATTGCACTGAAGTCCTGGTCCTCCCTCTCGAACCCACTGATGAATGTTGCATCCCAAAGGATTCCCTATCCTTCGTGAAATGAGAGAAAATGAACCACTCCCTTCGTGGTTTTAATGTAAAATTTTCGTTTAATTTAATTTTTGAAACTTGTCAGGTCCCTTCAGCTGGCCTGTACTGCAGCAACAACCTGAACCTTCTGGCCAAGTCACATTTTCTCCATGCTATGCCATGTATGTCTAGTATGTTGTCTCCAAAATGGAACTTTGTTATGCTGGTATTGCATTAATTCAGGCTAACTAGCTTGCACTTTCTGAGCAGAATCTAGTTAGCCTACCTTGCTAGCATTGCAAGTGGAATACAAACTTAACAACACAATGGTTCTTCCCAAATGTTGAATGTTATATCTTAAATACCAATATCAAACGCTTAATGTTTGTAGACTATACAGTACAGTGTTCTTGGAAATTGACAGCATGTCTCCTAGCAACACAGGCCAGATGTCAGTCTATATTTCCATAATAGGTCCAAAATGTGGTTATCACTGTCTGAAAATATTCTATTCTGAAAAATGGAAAAATATGCTGCGGTATGTAGATTAGTGCTATAGTACAGTATATTTTAGTTGGACTTTCAGCACTTTAAGTTTACTACTTTGGCAGATCCCTTTTTTAAGCTTGCCTGAAACTTGCTGATCAGATGCAGGAGCACTATTCTGAGGGAGACATAATTGCTTTGGACAACAATCTAACAGATCATTCAGTTAATCAAAAATGGTGATGAGACCTGTCACCTAATGTAAAAATTCACACTAAAGCCAAAGGGTCAAATCTTGTCTGTGTCTACCTGGCTGTTGTGGTTGGTTTACTACCACCCTGGGCCCAGTGGTTGGTGGCCCCTGGTCCGGGAACCCCTGATCCGGGGCACCTGCCTCTCTTTGTTTAGATAATGGCATGGGAGATGGCAGGAAATGCTTAGGAAAACCTTTGAAGAACCAGGCACCAGACCTCTTCCACACCTGAGAAAACATTTATGTTATAGACTTTCAGCAGACAGTTTAACTCCTTTATTTGTCCACTGGCGTAAAGCACTCACCTCTCGCTGTTCTCTACAGATCTTGCATAGCCACACAGCGCGTGGACGACTGCTACACTGTGTACCACACTTAGTACACATGTTCTGCACAACAGGAGAAAATAAAGATTTCCAGCTGCTTATCATTTTGTTATTACAAATACACAGCAATCCTGTTTTCTCACCTTTTGTGTGAACTGCAGCAGAGAGAGTGTGTTGTTGTTTTTGCCTTGTAATCATTGGCTGGCTCATTACCTACCTTTTTGCAGTCCTCACACACCACTGAGCTGACTCCAGGTGAGCCCAGCTGCTCCCCACAGAGCAAACAGCGGGACTGTCCATCCCCACACACAGTCTTCTTCATGTCGTCCAGACGGTTTATCAAGCGCCTGCAGCAGCACAGGGTGAAATCATACTTAAAATGTCACTGTTAATTATCAATGTATGCATGTCACTCTTGTTTTACAGTCTCTCACCCAATTCTCTCCTGCTCCATGGCCTCCATTTTCTCAGCACGGGCGATCACACTGTTAATAATTTCTTTCTCTTCATCTGTCAGGTCTGGACCAGGACCAGGGCCTGGCTGCATGGTCCAGTTGCCCCTGTCAGCCAAACATATTCTCTAGTTGTGGATACATTGCTTCCATGATTTTACTACGTGAAGTTACAAAGCAGATATGCATGATGCAGATAACAGAGGTGGAGTAGGAGTTTGTCTACTTACTGCTCTTTATCCCTGTGTCACAGATCACACATCAGAGGGATGTAGGTGAAACAAAGGAGAGTACAGTGTAGGGTTGGTAGACTTGTAGAGAAGGCTAACAAAAATGTTCTAACAATTGTGCTTACCCAGCATGCATGCTCCTCTGCCTGTCGTTGGACACCAAGCGATCCGAGCTTCTGCTCATCACCGTGTCCGTCATGCTGCAGTATCACAGTCTGCAGGTGGACAAGAAAGAACAAGAAATAGTCAGACAAGCTCATTAAAAAAGAGCTCTTAATTTGGGTGGGAATTAATGGTTTTGCTAAGTCTAGTCAGAAACCATCAAATTCATGACTATGTTATGTGTCTTGAGTCCACACATTTAGAAATCCTCCATTCTTATCTCATGCAGCACTGACTTAACTGCCACCACGGGCTGCTCTCTCATCAAATAGGACATTTTGTACAAATTTGTATTTGTAATCAGGACACTGGTGACCTTAAATTAGCAAGTCACCAGATACACTTCCTTTAATTGCCACACTGCAATGTAGGCCTAAATAAGGTAGCTAATGATGACCTTACATAAAAACCAAAACTCTATTATAGTTTCCATGAAGCTAATCACCCCCCCCCATCTACTTTCTTTCTATGAATGTACATATTAAGCCTGAAATAGCAACAACATATCAGCTACCAATGGCAATGTAGGCACGTTTCCTGGTGCCAAATTTACAGCCCAATCAGTACCATCTCCTCTTGCCAAGATTGTTTCATCAAATTCTTTCCACAGATATATTTAAGCAATAAATGGACACAGGACAACACTGCAAAAGGCATTACACAAACAAACAATACAAGCCGAAACTACGCTGACATACGTCGGTTCTAGCGGGGGTACAGCTGATTAGTATGAGTACAGCAAAGGAAAAAAAGCTTATGGCAAAGTAAGCCGGTGCCAGTAAGGCGGTGTGGGTCGTACATTTATGTGTGCTTTCCATGCCAGGGATAAAAGATAAGGTTGTACCAATTATTTTAGCAGTTGTGAGCAGAACTGTAAGGAATTTCCTCCAGTTTGTGACTCTACACGTATCAAAGAAACAGATGGTTCCATACAGCAGGACTGTCTCAATTATGCTTCGATACAGGAGGAGGAGGAGGAGGTGAGTTTGTACTGACAAGGATGACTAAGAGTCTTTGTCTCCAGCATCTGATTGTTCGTGGTGTGTTGGTTGGAACTGAGGCTTTTATCCAAAGTGATGTCTGTGTATTTACAGTTCTCAACCACTTATACTCTTTCTCCACGGATGCTGGTGGGACGGTGTGTGTAGTCGGTCACTGGGGGGGTTGGCAAGGAGTTTATAAGATCTGTAAGAACGAAAACAGGACTGGATTAAAGAGTCACTGTTGCTGAGGAGTGTCTAAGAATGGCTGTGTCATCGGAGTATTTAAAAGTACGTGATGACAGGAGATACGCTTTTGCAGTCGTTTCTGTACATGGTGCAAAAAAAACAAGCTGAAAGCCCAGTACTAATGATGACAGCTGGAAACAGTGAGTTGTCAACTGTATCCATGTGACACACCAGCAATGTGATTTAATCTCAAACCGACATGGTAAAGATGATACAAAGATGTCAACAAAAACTACTGAGGCGAGTGTCCATTGGGCAAGTCTGCTCAGTGTGTGTGTGTTTGTGGGTGCCCCTGCGCAATTGACTTAGAGCTGCTTCAAGTCTCTGCCAGACAATACATGGAGTGATGCTGCGGCAGCCACAGCTGGAGGATACAGCCGTGTATGACCTGAGGGGAAGTACAAGCAGTCAGAAAAGACCAGTGGGCTACGAAAAGGAGGTAGTAAAAGCCTCTCTGGAGTTTCAAATGTCCAGATTTGAGATGGTGCAGGATGAGCAGAGTGCAGGTACTGTATTGGAGAGAGTGGGTTGATACAGTAAAGAATGCATGATGATAAGGCTTAAAGGAAAATAAGTTTCACTTGTCTTCAGCTTTTCGCAGCAGCAAAATTCAGCCCTACCAAACCTTGGAGGAATTGAAAGACGGAGCAAAAGGGAGGGGTGCGCCACTGTCTCCCTCATTCAGCTGCTAGTATTATACTGCGTAGTGTCAGGCTACATACCTTTTGAGCTCTAATCTGTTACTGCTCTGCCTGCGGGATTCACAGAATAACAACAAATTTGCTGCGCTATCAATAGACACTCTGGGTGTGGGCTTTTCCCTCTGATGCTGCTGCATCTAGCCAACAGTGGCAACACAGTCCCCGGGGAGCAATGTCTTTTTCCACTTTTCAGCAGCACTCTGACAGTTCAGACGATGCTCTGACTGTACAGTACATATCATATACACAAGGCTCTCTAGCTTGGCCTTCCTTCACTTGCCAAAATGAGTTATCCCACTTTTGTCTAACGTGATTGTCCTGGAAAGGTGGATGGAGAGAGACAGATGGGAGGGGGTATTTAGACTTGGGCTGGATGATCACTGATTCAGAGGAGTCAGAGCTCTCTGGTGCTGAAGATAGACGTTGCTGCATCACTGAAGTGGAGTCTTTGCTGAGGTGACAACCCAATTAGCATTCAGGCGATAGTCTGAAGGATCGTCTGCACACTTTTCTCATAAAGAGCTGTCAGTGCAGGCTTTGATGCTTCAGACATAGAAAGGTACAGCTTGGTTTCATCTACTGTGCAGTCAAGAGAGGGATTTGTAACTTAAATAGTTTCAAATGTACATATTCAAAACTGTATCTGAGGCCAATTATAATGGACTGTTTCGACCAAAATGTCATTTTAAGCCTCGTTATTCTGCAGTTACGATTACATTAACCCTCAAACTGTCGTCCTCTGCGCTGTTGAGGTTATAAATGCAACTAATCTGCGTCATCTGTGACTCTGCCACAGTCATCTTGTAGAGGTTTTCCTCCCATATAAGATGACTCAGTCAGATGGTGAATTCTCCTCTGGGGAGCAGCAGATATTTTCCTCCGATTTCATCTGATGTCATGAAGCCTCCGTGACGTTGCTTTTCAGACGTGGCGATCTGTTAAGTGGTTCCCAGAAGTGTGCGAAGCAGTCACACAATAGTGTCTACAAAAACACCAGGCATGAATAGTAACAGACTGTGTGTGAAAAACCAGAATCTGCCCGACCAGCTAAGTCATCCACCCAGCAGGATCTCTCTTGTATAGAATTTCCTATGGAGGTGGAGAAGACCAGTTTGGAAACCTGTGTCTCCTCCTCAAGGCCTGAGGGGATAGTCAATACAAATTTGCATCTGTACATGTTCAGGGTTCTCTGCATAAACAACTCCCAGAGCACACCCTACACATTTTCCACACATCTGTTTTTAGAAGCAGAGCTATCTTTCTCCCTGGATGCTTGAAGTGAATGCCAGTCCACACCAGTCTTTAAGTCTAATCAGGCACTAGCACATATTAATGTTGTTATGTGACTTTCAATAGCAGGTGCATGACTCATTACTGCAGAACATATGACTGGAAAAAGGAGTAGACTGGAATAAGAGCAACTTGTTATGGTCGACAGCTCAACATTTTTTTCCCCCAAGATTCTGGTACTTGCTTGTCGAAACAAGAACTGAAGAAAGCAGGGGGAGTGACAACAAGGCAGCGGGGCATTGATGGATGGATCCAACATGGATCATTACGGATACAGCACTGAGAGCTTAAGTGGGGGTGGGGATAGAGGGAAGACAGTCATTTCCCTTTTACTGAGATAAGCAAAAAACTTTAAAAATATAACACAAAGAAGCGAGGCTTTACTCCAATGTTGTCATGTTATCATCAAACAATTTGTGCTGTAACAATAAGTCGATTATTAAACTGACAGGACATGATTGGTTAACCTGATTTCTTTTACACACTGCTATGTGTCCTATTTGTAAATGTATTGAATATAATGACATTGAAACATTGGTACTGCACTTGAATTCCAGGGCAACAATTCCCTTGCCATGCTGTAAGAAGGACATTTCTAAAATGGGTTAATGAGAATCGGAGATCAATGCCTGGTCCCACAATTGGATTCTTTCATCAGGCCTCCATTTGTATAGTGATGCCTCAGGCTAAAACTTACTTATGTGTAATTGAGGTCGCCCTAAAGCTCTGCTGTAGCCACCACCTAATCATTCACCAACAACCCTTACCATCGGCCATTGCCCTGCGGGCTCCGATCAGCACTTTCTTCAAAAACATTTTCGAGTTACAAGTTGCTAGAATTAATATTCACGTCAGCACAGCATATCCACCCTACCAATTATTTAATCATCCTGGTGAAAGCATACCCATTTTTAATCAGGTTGCTGTGTCCATTAATGTTTCATCAGCTGTGACACACTGTGCTTTTTCCTATTAAAAGACCCAATAACCTTGCAATCCATATACAGTTTTTCACAGTGCTGCGAGGAACTAGCTCAGCATGTTTTAGCCACATACTGCCTTTTGTGACTTTATGTTCAGAATTTATAATGTTGTGAAACTATGAACAACATGATTACGGAAAGCAAAATTAAAATAATGATTCGATTCAAGAATAATAATTATCCTGAAGCACGGATGTTTGGTATAAAATTAATGTGTCCTTGTCATTTTTCTATACTGTCAATAAAAGCCTACAAAATATAAAAATGGTAAGAAACTGTGAAATACATACATCTATTTAATATATATGCTTTAATGTTAAAACTGAACAAAAATCTAAACAGCTGGATTAAATAATTATTTAATCCCAAATATTCTTCCTCTACCATCTGTCCTGGCAGCAAAACAGCCTAAGATCCTCAGACAGGAGGGTCTTGGCTGGTCTACAGTTTCAACTCAAGTCCCGTGGTGATCTGGAAAATCATGCCTGAGCAGGGAAGACAGAAAAAAGGATTGTTTATTTCTATTTTAAATCCCACTTTCATCTATAAATACAGACTTAGTTGAGAACCATTTTCTGAATATTAACATTTAGAGATATAAAAATATTTTGGACAAACAGAAGCCAATATTAAAGCTGTATATATATTACATATCTACAGCTGAGTTTGCTGTTAGTCCACAAGATATGCAAATCATGCTACAATCTAAATTTAGAAATCTTTCATGTCAAAAGATGGCCACAAATAATCTTCTTATATAAAATGGTGACTGTAAAAGTAAAGCCCATTAATAAGTTTTGCTTTGTTATTTTTTGAGTTATGAGCCATCTAGAGACCTTCACTAAAATGTTCTAAAACTAGCTGACAATACCTTGACTCACACGTAGGCTACATGTCATCTAAAAGTACAACCAGCTGCTCCCTCACATTCTGTGGTGACACGTGTGGGCTGGTGGTTGGTGGTGCTAATGTCAAAAAGAAATTCAAGGTCTGTGCAGACAGTTTTCTTAGACAGTAAAATGTCCAACCTTACAACTTGTACCAATACACAGCTGAGCAGGCCTTAAACGCAATATTCAATGAACGATTGGAGTGCAACCAATTTAAAAGTGGTGATTGACTTTATACTTGGTAGGAAAGGACCAAAAAACACAACGTAGCCATCCACTCCCAGTCGTATGGCACCAACTCCATCTATCCGCCATAAAGGGACTGTGAGATGCCAACATAGCAACACACTGAGGCCTGGACCTGGGCAAAATCGTACAGCACTGCACCAAGAAGCCCTCCACTGCAGAACGAAAACATCACTCAGCATTTCTTAATTATTTACAACTACCACCCCTTTGCTTTTCACCTCTTTAAGGCATTAGTGCATGTTTTATGTACTCGGATCTCTATCAGACTTTATGTACAGAACAGTGGATTTGGGGACAAAATGATCACAGAGGGCCAGGCAGATTGAGCAATGACTGAACTCTATTTTGGGAAACAGCAAGGATGTGTGTTAGCCTTTTTAGTTCTGTGGCATCAACAAATTATCCATGTTTTCAGTCAGACAAAGGCGTTGACAGGGACCATCTGTGGAACCATCTGTGAAGACTCTTCACCTCACTAATGTGCAAGTGTTGCACCATTTCAAATACACACAACTACATCCTCTTGGGCAGGCATGTCTCCAGGTCCCGCATCGCTGGAGAACAAACAGGAAAGACCATCCAGTGACCAACAAGCTACCGTGCTGCTATCCTGGCCCTATCCAACAGACCTAAACGGGGTGGGTGCTGTGCTGCGTCTTTCATTCTTAAATCAACACGATGCACACTGAATTAGCAGTCCATACCCTTTAGGTCTCATTTCCAGCAATCGTCCTCAAACGCAGCTGGAAAATGTCTGCTGACGCACATTTTAATGTAATTCAGAGACTTCTTTAGTCCAGGCCTTATTTTAGAACTATTGAAGTAAATGGCTATCAGACGTGGAGCTCTCAATTAACTGCTCTCCACCAAGAGCCTGCAGTAAGTCTCAAATTTGCTTGGCTGATGGTGATTCATCTCTGTATGCCCCAGAGGTAAGAGGTGGGACTTTGAGAACTGGCTGCTGATGCATTGGCCAGACATGCTCCTTCAATTTCCTCCCATCTTATCTGAGTACTACCAGACAGGGGCATTAAATCAGAGCAATAAAGGTCTGTTGTAAAGACACTATGCATGTATTTGCTGCTAACCGGAAGTGACCAACCGCTGGTGGTCTGTTGAGATAAACTACACGGTTCTTAACATATAAAGAAGCAAGTCAGATCTCCTATCAATCCCTCAGTGTGATGGCCATGATTCTGTCTCTTTGTTGCTCCTCTTTGAAGATCTGGCACAGTTCAGCTGCTGGATATCTGACCCTCCCTCTTGTCCCACCAGCAAACTAGCAGGTACAATGCCCCTGGGTGTTTTTAGCAGATCTCGGTTGGCAAATGAGAGCCCATTCTTTTCTGGCAACACTGCAACAACAAAAATAAGCTTTGGCCCAACTTCTGAGACAAAAAAAAACCTTTTGGGAAGCTCAGCTATGTGACTTGAAATGCAAAGTTTGTTGATTTAGATTATTTAACTCACTGCTGTCTTGGGGGTACTTTGTTTAAAGGCCACATTAATTACGACTGTCTTTTCCAATATGCCACAGTGTTTAGGCAGATCTAATCACCAGTTCCAGAGAGGCTGGTGAATCGATTCTCATCCACCTTTCTGATGAGAATTTGAAGATGAAGCCACTCCCTTCTGAAGCTCCGCAACAAATCGGGAGAATAACATCTCTCATACCGCAAATATAGAAATATGCTCAAAAGCAGTTCTCAGATACCAACAGAGATTTAGAGTCTAACATATGATTTGGGTTCTAAGCTCCATATATGGATTGTGAAGAGCACAGAGGAACATAGAGTCATGCACCTTTACCAACTGTGGCCATGGTAACAGCAAGATCAGAAGACGAGAATCAGAATGATTAAAAGCTCTGTGTGTGTGTGTGTGTGTGTGTGTGTGTGTGTGTGTGTGTTTGTAGTAGACTATATTTGTGCCAAATTTCAAAACTCGGGTCACTGTTGCAATGTTAGTATCAGTGGATCACCCCCCATTTTAATAAATGTAGTTGCAATTTGTCAGAAATGATACCTCGTTCTTAACAGTCATAGTTGAAAAGACAGCTGAAAGGAGGACAAGATGATGCGACTATGGGTACAGTAGCTGTACATCCTTCAGCTTTAAATAATGCAGTTAGCCTGCAGAGCACTTCATTCCTCCATCTTTTTTCACCTTTTCCCTAAATACCCATTTTTCCTAGTGCACTCAATCTCTCGTTTTCTCTTGTTTCATGTGAAATGCCCCAAAAAATCCCCCTTTTCTCTCTTGCCTATAATTCCAGTGGTTTCAAATACAGAAAGGAGCGGAGTGGCGGAGAGAGAGGTACCAGCATAATAAGGGTGTCGTCCAATCACTACTGTGGTTGCTCATGTGAGAGAAGGCAGCTGCAGATATCTCTCAGACCGTTCATTCAGTCTTTTCTCCCCTCCCCCCATTTAATCCCCATGCCTCAGGTCTGTAGGCGGAGTTGGAGGTGGTGGAACTAAGAGGCGAATTCCCAGCTTCTTTTTTTCTGTCATCATTCAATATTAAAACAAGAAGCAATAAACCGGTTTGGTCCAATAAGTGTCTTTACAAAACACATTGCGCTGACCCACCGAGTGTGAAAACCCACGGGTGCAGGACCAGATAACGTCACAACAAGTACGCTGAATCACCTGTCCTGTGGCACAGCTGGAGTTGAGAGCTGCCCTGCCCACATCAGCATTTGGAGGTATCAGTGATGTTTTCCTTCTAGTCTACAGGCACATCAAGCCCCAGTGTGCGCTCCTAAAAATCCTGCAGCAACGCCCAGGGACGCAACCACACAATCTCCCACATGACTTAGGCTATCAGGTCTGTTTTCTTATATCAGATCTGCAACAAGGAAGCGCCCGTGTTGCAGGAGTGCAGCCAGCCACAATTCTTGTTTTAATTCATCTTAAGGGTAATTTAACACCTATCGAGCTACACCAAGAGTTATATTTATCAGCCATTCATGAATAAACTGAGTACATGATCCCAACACCAAAGCATGCTGTAGTAAATCTATGCAACAATCCAGAAGAAGGTAATTAGCTTTATCAACACCTCTTGCATGTATGACAGGAGCATTCTGCTGCAGAGCAATATTTTCAGTAAGACACGTTTTCGCTAAAACAAAGGAATGAATTAAATGTTCATTTACAAAGGTTAATAATGAGCAGCTTGCTCCATGCATACGAAGTTGCATTGCACAGTTACCAATGTTTTCATTAAAATGACTGAGTAAGTTACTGGCTCATAAAGACAATGAAAATGTTTTCCATCACATTAATAAATAGCCCACGGGCAATGAAATGTGTTCCCTCATAAGAGATCATTTCCAGCGTCTCTCTTGTGAATGAAATGCTGCATTCATTCAACTTGTAAATGACAAATTCTAATGCACTGAGTCACTGACCAAACGCAATAACCGCACAGTGATTTTGGGTTAAGGATTCAATGTTTGAAAATCCTTCGAAGGAGCTCATATAGCCTACCTGATAATCCAGCCCTGCTTTTTCTCTCTCCTCTCTCTCGGGGAGCTGTCAGGAAATGATGCGGACTAAATGTCTGTGCAGAGCTTGGGCCCGACCACAGAGTCAGAGTCAGTCATTGCGCATGGTGCCTGTCACCAAAACCCGTGCTTTTTATTTTTTTTGCCTGGAAGAGTAGTTTGTTGCTAGAATCACAGCGGACCTCCACAATGCGTGGGGAACTCGTTTTCCATCCTGCGTGGAGGACAGAAAGCCCTTGGTACCCTGGGAAGGAAACCCCTGGATCTGAAGTGATAACATTGATGCCCAAGTGGACAGTCATCATCTAATCCGATTGTTTCTGTAACAGCGCATAGTGTCTGAATTTGTCTCATCATCCATGCAGGCCTATTGAGAAATAACTATCATTTTAAACAAGATCAATTAACTGTGGTGATTCATAACAACGCATTGTGGTATTTAAACATAGCCTACACATTACAACAAGATATTTGGATGTTTAAAGTGTTATTGCATTTAAATGCAAACGTCTTTTTAAAAAACAAAATGGAGTTAATCTATTTCTTTTTCTTTTATCCCACAGAAATATCCTACTATTTGGGAGCAAATAAACTACTGCGTTCCACATTAACAATAGGCTGCTATATCTGCATGTTTCCTATATGATGATAGAATTTGCTGGAACTTTAATATAGTCTAATGTTTTGCAGCAACGATTTAATCTCCAAAATCACTGAAATACTAACGTCAGTGTCTCAACTGTAAGAGCATACGTCCGCTTAGATTTTTACTGTGGCGACATCGCGCCATCTAACGGATAAAGTATTTATTGCATCGAAGAAAGAATATAATGAGCCCCTTTAGTTTCATTACAAAATATTTTATATATAACATCAGTGGAATCGGTACAAACATGTAAAAAAACACCACTGTGAAAATAATTTGGATTTAGATTAGAGGCATAGTTTTTAGTGGCTACACTCTGGCTACATCATAGACTGTATATAAAAAGGGCTACACCTACGTACAGAAAAAGACTGCAAATGAAACAAGAGGGTTGTCCCCTCCTACTTCCGTATTCGTGTTCCACATTAACAATAGGCTGCTCTAATATGTATTCACTCTGATTTCTCGTGTTGAAGATACGTTAAATCAACCGATAGTCGTATGCATGTAAGACGCAAAACAAGATTTTGGTGAAGTTGCTTAACGACTACTCAGTAGGTCCACGCAAGCGTAACACGCAAACCAAAGATGGATAGCTATGCTGTTAATATAGCTGGTTTCCGACCACTTCGTCGGTTCATCGTTATTTATGATAATTTCAGGCCGTTGTATTGTTGATGTTCTTCTTTTATACAGTCTATTGTTCCGACTAACGGACAGGACGTTTACGTACGCCAGGACTTTCGTTTGGGCTGTATTATGGCGTGAACCATCTTGATATTGTATCTTCTTTGGTTTCACCCAACGCTGTGGTCACCTGATTTGTTGTGTTGCCGATGAAGAAAGATGGCGGCCCACCTGTCGTACGGTAGAGTCAATTTAAACATTTTGAGAGAAGCAGCACGAAAAGAGCTTCGAGAGTTTTTGGACAAGTGTGCGGGGAGCAAGGTAATGAACACACACACACGAAAAACATGGCCGATGCAGCGACGTTAATCTCTTCAGCCTTAATGTCATCGTGGAGCTGTCAATGGTCGGCACGTTGAGCAAAATACACAAGATTACAGGTTATGTTTGAGTGTGAATATATTTAGATACATCTCTTGACAGTGAAGCTACAGGCACATCCGTATATAAGTTGTGTTTGTCCTTTAGGGGGACATAATCACTTATTGGAACCATTAGCTATTGGCTAAATCATAGGTAACACTGACAGTAAACATTTCCGCATACACATCATTTTCAGGTCTTGCCACTGTCTTTATTATGCCCTTGCTCTTTAGGCCATAGTTTGGGATGAATATCTGACTGGACCTTTCGGACTGATAGCTCAGTACTCTCTACTGAAGGTAAGTGCTTTCTGTGCACAGGTGAGGTATCTGGCGTCAAAGGCATATTAATGTACCATATAACACAGGTTAGGCTTAGATATCAATCACATGTTGCATGTTTGTTACTGTGTTTTTCAGGAACATGAAGTGGAAAAGATGTTCACCCTTAAGAGTGGCAGGCTTCCCCCAGCTGACGTCAAAAATATCATCTTCTTTGTTCGTCCCCGACTGGAGCTCATGGACATCATTGCTGAGAATGTATTCAGGTCTGTGTATATGTCTCATTGTCAAGACCAACAGTGTAAACAGTCATGAAGGCATTTACCCTATATAAGACAGTCAAGCATTTTCAAGTCCTCTCTATCACTTTGAAAAGTGATGCAACATGTCCACAACGTGCAACACTTTTGCCTTTGGATTGTGCACCTTTTTTAGTGAGGACAAGATGCATTCGTCACGAGACTTCCACATTTTGTTTGTGCCTCGGCGGAGCATGCTGTGTGAACAGCGGCTGAAGGAGCAGGGCGTGTTGGGCTCTTTCATCAACATTGACGAGTATATCCTAGACCTGATTCCCTATGATGGTGACCTGCTGTCCATGGAGTATGAAAGTGCTTTCAGGGTGTGTTGAACTTGTACATCCCAGACATACAGCATATTAACCACTCAGCTGCTCTATGAAATGAAGAATCTGTATGTTATAAAGTGAAGATTTAGATTTCAAATCAACAGTAGTTTTTAAACACTTTCAAACATCACATGACATGATGATAATTGTAAGGAAATATTTTGAATTTCACACCATTTATTTATAGATGTGGTGTATTTGTAACTAGTCATTATGTGAGTTTACTTTCTTTTTGTCTCTTACAGGAGTGCTACTTAGAAAATGACCAAACAAGCCTTTACCACACAGCCAAAGGCCTCATGACCTTACAGGCATTGTATGGCACCATTCCACAGATCTATGGGAAAGGAGAATGTGCACGTGTGAGTGTGGTGGAAACATTTTTGTATGAAAACTCATGATCAGTATTAAAATTAAAACTGCTAATTGCACATGGACAGAGGTTCAGAAGAAGTCAGGTGGATGAATTTGTTTGAAAAAAATAAATCCTCTGCTCGTTCTCAGCATGTTGCCAACATGATGCTGAGGATGAAGAGGGAGTTTGCCGGCAGTCAGAATCAGATCCTGCCCGTGTTCGATACTCTGCTTCTTCTGGACCGTAATGTTGATCTGCTCACCCCTCTGGCCACACAGCTCACCTACGAGGGTCTCATTGATGAGATCTACGGAATCAGTAATGGTCAGAATAAACTATGACTCCTTCTCATTATGTGTGCATGTTCTAGTTATCTTACATCTGCATATATGTATTTGCCCTTGTATTTATTCCTTCTGATTCACAGGTTATGTCAAGTTGCCTCCTGAGAAATTTGCACAGAAGAAGCAAGGTGAGGCGAGTAAAGATTTACCCACAGAGCCCAAGAAGTTACAACTCAACTCAGCAGAGGAACTGTATGCAGAAATACGGGACAAAAATTTCAACGCTGTTGGAGCAGCGCTCAGCAAGAAGGCCAAAATAATCTCAGCTGCCTTTGAGGTTGGTCTTGTTGCTCTGGCATATTTGCCTGCTCTAAAATGATTATAGTGTATAAACAATGTTAATGTTACAATGGCTGGTACTCCCAGGGAGCTACATGAGATCAGTTCCAGACATCCCAGCAGATCTGATGTGATTGTAATCTCTCTGGCATTTTTAACCACAAAGGTCATATAAGAAATCTATGAGGTTAGAGATAAGAGAAAGTACTAATTGTTGAAGCAGAATGCTTAACAACATTATTACCATTCTCTTATCAGCTCAGAACTCAGGTACAGTCATTATTATATTTATATTAACCGAAATGACATTAGTAGAGATTGATAATAAGCAAAATTATGCACCATCAGAGGTGTTCTAACCCTGGAAAGCAGTGAGCATGAGCAGGCTGCTCTTTGCTAATGTGGAAAGTCCACTTTCCATTAGAAAGGTTTTCAGGAACATAATTGATTGTGTGTCTGTGTGTGTTGACATTGTTTAGTATAAAGGGAAGTTGTGTAGATTGACACCAAACTAAAATATTTTATTGTATGTTGTGTGGGGTTGTAGTTAACTAAAAAAAACAACAACTGAAGATGGATCTCCAAATATAATTGGATAAAGGCTGATCAGCTTCCTAACCTTGTTTTTGGTACACTTTTATTGTCTGCCATGGCCAAACTGTTTTACATCTAATTTAATTTGTGCTGTATGATTGACTTTTTGTGATAATTGGATTCCACTATTTCAAAAGCTGCAGTAGTAGACATATTAACCATTCAGCAATTATAGTGATATTTTTTGCTTTTCAGGAACGCCATAATGCCAAAACAGTGGGGGAAATAAAGCAGTTTGTGTCTCAGCTGCCTCACATGCAGGCAGCACGAAGCTCGCTGGCTAACCACACTTCTGTAGCAGAGCTGATCAAGGACATCACCAGTGCGTAAATAACCTCTTTCACTTAAGCTGCTTTACGTTTGTTCTGTCTGCATTTTGGAACGATTCTCACACCATATTTTAATATTTTTATTTTTAATACATTACAAAATAAAGCATTGTGGTTTGTGAAAAAATACACATAATCTTGTTTTCTTTTAAATAACATTGTCCACCAATTTAAGGCAACGTTTGCAGTGATGATATAAATCTTTTTCATTTTGGAATAGCGTTAAAACCTGTGTTTTATGTCTTTTATTTCACCTGATTTTAAGGACTATAGAATCACGTATTTTTTTTTACAACATTGAATGTATAAGGTGTCATCTAAGTTTATAATGTCTCATTTCAGCATCGGAGTCCTTCTTTGACAATCTAACAGTGGAGCAGGAGTTTATGACTGGAGTCGACACAGACAAGGTATTCGTCATCTACCTATTGTTTTTCCAAAGCTAATCTGTCATAAAATGATTCCCACATGAGTATGTACATAGATACAATAGTTTCACATGATATTTCAAAAGTTGATTAAAATACGCAAAATAATCGCAAATGCTTAATTGCATCTGTTATTCAAGGTTTAGTTTCACCTGGGCTATTTTGCAACAGTGATTTATATGTTTTATCTATAGCTTGACTATAATTCTGATGAAAGTTATTTTCCATCCAGGTGAACACATATATAGAAGACTGCATTTCCCAAAAGGATCCTCTAATAAAGATTCTGCGTCTGGTGTGTATGCAGTCAGTCTGCAACAATGGCCTCAAGCAGAAGGTGTTTGACTATTACAAGAGGGAGATTCTCCAGGTACGGTCAAAGACGTAAAGATTTCAACAAAGAAAAATTGTTGTGTATTGCTGTGTACTTTCTAAATAAAAATAAATAAAAGAACACAGATTACTCAACTGTATTTCACGAATAATTAAAACTGGTATGTGACAGATTTTTCTTTTTTAATAATGCCTGCTTTGGTGTCTCTTTTGAAGACCTATGGATATGAACATATACTAACATTGAACAACCTGGAGAAGACAGGTCTTTTGAAGCCACAGACAAGCTCAAGGAATAACTACCCCACTATTAGAAAAACCCTTAAACTGTGGATGGAGGACGCCAATGAACAGGTACGACAATTATGAAAATATCATATCCACCTTCAACACGTACATAATGAGAATAGTTTACTCTTGCATCCTTTGCACTCTGATTACTGCACTATTTGTCAATATGTCTATATTGTTTTGTTCATAGTGTGTATATTAGTGTTGTCTACTCTGTAGTTCGTGTCTGATTTTATTATTATTATATTATTATTTTATTATTGTATAAGTAAGCACATGTGAGCAATGTACAATCCTGAGTCAAATTCCTCGTATGTGTACACATACCTGGCAGTAAAACTGATTCTGATTCTGAAAAGAACTACTTTAAGGATTAAACCCATGCACTTTTGAGCGTTTGAGGAGGACCTTCACGTCTTTGGCCGTTTGGTTTTTGATTCCCCCAGAACCCCAACGACATCTCCTACGTGTACAGTGGCTACGCTCCACTAAGCATCCGACTGACCCAGGTCTTGGCCAGGCCCGGGTGGCGTAGCATCGAAGAGGTGTTGAAGATGCTTCCAGGCCCACACTTTGAGGAGAGACAACAGCTGCCAGCCGGGCTTCATAAGAAACGTAAGAGCCAATGCAAACTAGGTCTGCTATTTGCCCCACTGCTCACTGAACAGAATAAAAGTAAACGACCTCCTGCCTGCGAAGTGTAGATAAGACACAGGCTTTGTTTGTGTTGAGTCAAGCGCTAAAAGCAGCAGATTGATGGTACAAAGTGGACAATACCACAGAAGCACTGTCGGTGTTTGTGTTGAAGAGAAGCCTAGATTAAAAACACAGTGACCAGTGCTTTCCTTCAGTTTTCCTCCATCTTTTTGTAATAGCGGTAGTAGGTGTTCCACTGATGTGAGTAATGAATTTAATTATACGCTCAGATTGAAATGTGCTAATTAGAACTGAGCGTTTGGGCATCAGACGGTTGACTTGTTTCTACATGCCTGCCTTACAATAGATTTTAAATGTGATAATAGAGGACTCTAATCCAGGGGGAGGGTGATGGCTAAATTAGTGTTTTCACATTTCAAAATATGGTGCTTTAGCAGAAAGGACTTGGCACTTTTCCATTCAGTTGTATTTTGTTTAAGTGGGCGATGGAAGAAATTTGATGGATTTACATAATATTCCTTTTTTAATTCATTTAACTTTTACATTTTGTATACATCTTTTACAGGCCAGCAAGGGGAGAATCGGACAACGCTGGTGTTCTTCCT